ACACGGAGGCACTTCCAGAACAAAATAGACCTTTTGGGGTTTTTTTAGCTTCAGAGAAAAGTTGACTCAGCAAATATTTCCTCCGCTAGCATTTCAACCACATGTTCCAGCAGAAGCCAGCACACATCTGGCACGCTGCAGTGTCATTGCCAGAAAGATCACAGCTTCGCCAAGCAACGGAAATGGAGGAAGAGGAACCAGCAGTCCAGGCACCGAGCACTCCTGGAACACGTACGTGGCAAAGAAAGGACCCACGTCAGCCACGGATACCCCACACTTCGCCGGTCTTTCCCCAGCCCTCTCTCCAAACAGCATCCGCAGGCAGAGGGAGATGCTGCCCTGCAACCCGCAAAACTTACCGCTAAAAACCTAGACATCAAACCGTACGTTTTGGCCACACGGCTGGCGTCTGAGATTTATTTTCACAGCGTCCCGTGCGCTGGACGGCAGCACGTTCCTCCCGGTGCTGTAGGACGTGGTCCTGCTGAGCAAGAGGAACTAGGAGGAGAGTACGTGCTTGGAGCAAGCACAGAAACTCCAGCAACCGGAGAGGGGAGCGTGCCGGCAGGGAAGGCGGTGGACAACCCTCACAGGCAGGCCCGCACATCCCAGCTGCCGGTGGCGGCACGCTGGCAGGTAGGCGAATGCCGCGGCAGGTCCACGGGGCCCCACGGCTCCAAATCAGAGCCCAAACAAAGCAACGCACTCCTCCTCCTCCAGAAACAGCCTCCCCAGAAGCCTGCCAAGGCAAACGGCAATCACGGTCCTAATCAGTGAAATAAGTGCTGCTTTTCGTGCTTATCGGCTGTAAATTGGACATTACTGGCAGCCTGGCAGCAGGGCTCAATCGCGGCTCCAGACACGTGAAGAGCAGCGCAGCAGCACTATAAATACCTTTCCCTCCGAGGCGGTATCGTCCCCAGGTGCTACGCCAAGATCGCTCTCGATAACGCAGCAGAAACTGCAAAGCGAACCGTACGATCGCGGGAGCGACGCGCGGGACCCGGCCCGTCGCCAACCGAAAGGGGACGAGAACCGAGGCAGCGTGGCGCGGGGCAGCCGTGGGACCTTTCAAAGCCGAGCTGGAAATCGGCTCACCGTCCCCGTGGCTCTCGCACCACGGCCAAAACCCCGGGGTTCCTCAGGCGAGGAAAATGGCGCTAGGAGGCCAGCAGGGAGAAACACCGTGGAGCAGAGCGAGGGAAGGCGGGTTTGGGCCTTGTGGCTGCAGTCGGAAAAACAGCAGCCAGGGAAAAAAAAATTAAAAAAAAAAAATCAACCAGCCGCCCCCCCAAACCTCTGCACCACCGAGGAGGAATGGCAGAGCTGGGAAGAGGCAGGGAGGCTGGCTCATCCCCTGCACGGCACGGTGGCACGGAACGGGGGGGATGGCTCATGGGGATGCGCTCAGCGAGGGACAAAAACCCACTCGGTGGGTGGGAGCCTGATTTCTGCGGGTGGGAGACCGGTTTCTGCGGGTGGGAGCCCTGAGTCCTGCGGGTGGGAGCCCTGATTTTCTGCCGGGTGGGAGCCCACTGGATTTTTTTTTTTTCTCCCGAGTTTTGACCCGCTCGTGATTTCACGGGAAAACCACCCGCTGCACACAAACAGCCGCCCCGGCGTCAGCCCGCAACCGCGGTGGCTGCGAAACGGGACCGAGCCCAGCGAGAGGGGGCACAGGATCCCCCTCCCCGGACGGCAAAACGTCTGGAGCGTTTGCATCCGAATTCCTTTTAAGCACGACTCTTCCCCGACGGGCTTACGGGACCGGGAACGGAGAGCCGGACCGGGAACGGAGAGCCGGACCGAGGCGTCCCGGTGACTCCCATAGCATCAAGGGGGCGGGAGGACGGCGAAGAGGCTCTGTGCAGCCCCCTTGCTCCACGCCGGAGCCCCAACGGGCTCGTCCCGGGGTGGTCGGGCCCCATCG